CAATCATAGAAAAAAAAAAACCCAGATTTTGAGCAGGAACTTAGATGTACTTCTTGCAAAAAACAAATTAATGAGCGAATAAGTGAATTTCGCAAACAGTATCCAATTTGAATGCAAGTAGAACATAAATTTGACGAGCCTCAAGTAAGGATGTGGGCTATCAAAGAGTTTTCAGTAACCCAATGAATGGGGTGTGCCGTCAAATTATCGGTCTCATTCACCGGTTTCAGTGTTCCAATCAATTATTGGTTCAGCTTTCCATGTTCTCTGACCTCCTAAAAAGTACATCGGTTTGATTCTTCCTTCTATTCAATCAATAAAGCAACTTTTGCTTCCAACTGGTCGGATGGTTGGTGGTACGGCAATGCTGAACGCTATGCTGTTCTCCTTTGGGCACCCCGAAGATGAGACTTTCCGGTTGTTTAGTCAATGGAATCCACGCTTTTTTAGCGAGCTGTATCAAGAACCAGGACATCCAGGTAAGTTAACTCGAAATACGGTTGTTTTGGTGGTATCATAATTATTGCACTCTAAAGTTGACGCAGACCTGTGACCAGCGAATCTTGGCACACCAAGTAGTACTGAAATAATCATCATCATCATTGACAGCATGACATCAGTGTTCAACACCGATGCTTCACTGCCGTACTAGTCGTCAGTGTCATGGTAGTACGAGGGCTGGGATACTGCCAGGGCGCCCACACCTAGGCAAGAGGACGATTAGGGTCCTCAACCAAAATCTTTGGCTCAAAAGCCTAACCGCAAGGCAGCAGCGTTTGGCGGGAAATGCAAATGCATTACCATTTCTACAGAACAAGTCCTCACATGTTGCAACCCCAACCTGGAGGGCCAGGAGACTGTGTTCATCAGACCTCTAACCATTGACCAACCTGGTATGAGAGACTGTGTGAGTGTCGCGGGACACTCCCCAGTATAGCTCTGTGGATCGCTGTGGTGCGCAAACCGCCACACCAGGGTAAGTTCTAGTCTCTTCGTGATGGAGTAGTACTAATAGGAGGCTTACAGACCATTAACATGTCATGGCCATGAAGAAACACAGCCGGCGTCGTAATCACTTGTTATTCCAAGAAACATCTGCGCATTTAGATAGATTTCATTCAGCATACTCTATACAAATGAACAAATAAAAACTCACTTAAAACATTGATCTCCTCTTCCCATTATCGATGAAGTCTACGAATGGTTCCGTGCTTGCCTGCTTATTTTGGTATGGATTTAACTCAGATAACCCGACTTGTGACAATGTATATACCCTAATGGTGTGAAATATGCGTAATATCGACTTGGGTGGGTACCAGTCAGTGAGCGTATCTCTATAATTTTCTGCCAAACGTGTTTGTTGACTAAGACTCAGGTTGGGTTACTTCCGGTCCAGCTCCGTCCTGATTTAAATCATGACTGGTCTGGAGTCTACACATTTATGAAGATGCTTTCATGAGAATTTAATCCAGACTGTTGGCCGATCCACGATTTTGACGTTCTTGAGCAATAATCAAAATCTTTGGAGTTAAGCAGCATTATGAGATCACGAACGAACATGAGCACAGTCAACACATTACCATCCAACACTGAAATTTGACTTATCATTGGTTTTTCGAGAGACTCACCTGGAACCCAACTGAATGTCTCGTTTGTGATGTTTCCAGGCAACTGAATGTGCTGCACCAGGTCGCCTCCTTTTTCAGTCACTACGAAACCGGTCGTGGGCTGTCGATGGATTTTCAGCAACATTATGAGTAGTGCGTTACAAAGATATACATGTATCGCGATATCTCGAATATCGTAGCGACTGAAACATGAGGCGGCCTGATGCAGCACATTCAGTTGCCTGAGAACATCACAAACGAGTGAATGAGCTGGGTTCAAGGTGAGACTCTGGGAAAACCAAATTAGTTTGCGAATGAGTGTATATTCGCTAATGTCATGCAATTTGGTATCAAGTAGAACATACGGTTGACGGTACTCCAGGGACTTCGCCTACCTGATGAGCCCCAAAAAGGGCGAAACCGATCGTGGGCTGTCGTGTCGACGGATTTCAGCAACCTAATGGGTAGTGCATTACAAATTTTAGCTTATTTTTCTCTCACTCATTTAGTTAATTAGCCCGTCCGTGGCCACTTAATTCAAATTTATTACTTACTAAAGAACATATTTTGGGTAACATGATTAATAATTGTTTTCATCATTTGTGCACAATCGCTATTTATTCAAAGTTTGTTTCCTTCTCTATAGGTGGTGCAAAAAACAGTTTATGCTATGTTCATTGAAAATTGGCATTCAGCCAACCGAACTCTAAAGATCTGATTGATTTGTCACTTGCACAAACTTCAATCTTCACATTCAAGAGGAGCGTTATTATATTTATGTGTTTACTCTTCAGGGATTGTCAGAAATTTGAAACTGCAATTTTCGAGCCGTGTTTTCCCCAAACCTGTCATGATATCTTATTCCTAAGTCAACATATGCTCGCATGTTGTAATACTTTATTATCGCCAAACTGGTGGCGGTCAAACTTCCGTGTATCACAAGAACACGGTTTGACACTTTGAGACACTTGGCATTACCCAACACCTTGGTTTCAAACCTGGTGGGTGCACTTGCCTAGAAAATCATATGCTATTTTCGGACTTCTCAAATCCCCTCGTTCAAAGAGGGAACATCCCATTTCTCTATCACACTTGGGCAAATCACACTTTTGCCCTCCGATGTGTGAATAAACGGCTCCAGTCCTGTTCTCACCAAGTTAGCAACCTGCACCTGCATTTCGTCTTTTTTAGTTCACTGTGAACTTGTCGTAGGTGTCAGTGTGCGCCAAAAATCATTTTGCTGAGCTTTTCGGGTCCGACCTAAATCTTTCTTTCGGCAAAGCTGTTGTTTCTTTTAAGAGTAGGAACAATGAATTCAAGGTTTCGGAAGCCTTGGCTGATTGATTTTGTGTTGTAAACCATTAGTCTCCTAAATGGAGATGTCCCTGCTGGATAGTGGATAAGTCATTGAGCTTTGAAACTATTGGGCGAACCTTCCATTCGCACTCACCACCTCCTGGATGGCGGTGAAAAATGTACGGAACCACCACCATATGAGACCATAGTCTGTGAAGCCACCGTGCTAATAATTCTTCGCTGCCAGTGTGCGACGCTGAGGTCATTTCATGATGCTTTTCGCCTGTCCGGTTAAGCGATTATGTGGAATCCCAAGTCGTTGACTGAAGACGTCGATACTGCATACCAACTCTAGTTAGGGCTAGAAAGAATATAAGTTCCACTCCTTGAATGCTTCGGTTGCTTGTCCTCAGATAATTTTCATTTTCTATCTGGGTCAGTCGGTTTCAGAATCCTATTCAGTTCAAGCATTACCATGCTTCTGGCAGTAGTTCGACTCTTTTCTGTCAGCTGCCCAAATTATTCAGACTACTCACGTAATACCATGGTTATATCAGCGTCTGCTCTGTGATTAGTTCCAGCTGGTCAGTTTGCATAAAATGCTGTATTTTGCCCAATTAATTTCTTTTTCTGCGCTGCGCTGCGCTTGGTTCTGCGACAGCGTTACGTTAAACTGCAGTGTTCTGACATGTCTCAGCTCGTAACACTGTGCTAGTTTCATTGATTTAATTGCTCTCTATTTATTGAGCGTATTGTTTAGTTGATACATATTCGACCCTAAAGAAAGACTTACACGACTTTAGAGCTCATGGTGGCTCGGATGAGAGGTTTTAACCATGCATTGGAATGCGTTCCGGACTTACCTTCTGCTTCCATTCAGGCATTTATGCTTTTTCCATGGTATCCTGATGCGGTTGCTTCTTTTCTAACTCTGAATAAGAAAGGTTGTTACGATTTGTAGCAATCTCTCCTGTTCATCAAGTCCTTGTGAGAAAAAAAGAATTTTGAGATTAACTTAGCAATTTTCGTAGCCAAGATTACTGTATTTGAAGGCTCTAACTGTGCGAAAGAAGACATTTGTAGACACCAACTAAGTGAAAGACAAGGTACGCTACCAATTTTGGTAAACTAGAGTTTTTCCTAATCTTTGCTCTCAATATGCTTGATTTTAATCTGTTTTAGTAACAGGATGTCACTTTTCCCCCACACTCAATTATCGTCATCTTCTTAATGAGAAGTTCCACGTTGCACTTTCTGAAGTATTCAAATCTCTGGGTTTTCCCGTGAGAGACAGTCCGGATGGCTGGGTTAAAGAAGGTCTGCAAACACCACTGGGTGAGTTTCTTGAATGGGAGAACCTGTTTTACACGACACCATAAGAGTTTTGTCGATAAATTGCACAGAATAATGTGAATGTGCATTCCGAAAATATCGCAACCAATCACAACTAGACAAATAGTGCCCAGAATGTTTCAAGCGTCTGTGGCGCCACCTGACTGGAAGTCCCAACAGGCGGGCCAGTCGATCGACACAACAAAGTTATGTTACTGGATCGTCTTTGTGGGCGTACAGCTTACTGCTCATATCACTCAAGCATGAGATGAGAATTCAGATGTGTTCAGCATGCGCGTGTGAAGAATCGATAACATTCACACTTCGCTTTCAAATTCCGGCACGGTCATTGGATATGCACTTCTGATGGGCTCTAATAAGATTAAAACCTGAGTCCAGTGCTCCCTCCTTTGGTGTGGACTCACCAAAATGATTGCGCAGGGACAGGAGAATGACTATTCAAACGAGAGTGATGCCAGCGTGTATTCTAAGAGTCCTGTAGCAACCCACAACTAAGCCCGTTCTGGTTTGTCCACGGCTGTGTGGAGATGCACAGGCTAGATTTTTGCCTTAGCAAAAGTTCACTCGCATTTTAATCCCCAGCTGCGAGATGCGAGGTCAGTGCACACTGAACGCTGAGCCTGAAGAAGTAAACGTAGTCGTGCTTGAACGACGTGACCGGTTTGATCCGTTGACTCGAAGGATGACTCTATAAATGTCCTTGCTCTGTCGTACTGTTGAACGGTTTCTCAGGAGTTTCCAGTCAAGTCGAACTGTGGATGTTCGTAAACTCCTGAAAAATCTCTTGTTATCTGAAGGTGGTTGGGGGATCCGTTGAATTTGATTTTAGAGAACAACTCCTAGGCACAGGTGGGAGCACAAATCGAGATCGGGTGGCATCTTCAAGAGCCAGTCTCCTGAGGCAGAAACAAGTACTGAAAACATTACGTGGACGCATGAGGTGTAAACCATGCTTGGCATCACAGTGTCTTCACTGACCAGTCTAAGAGCTTTCCATGATAATTTAAGGCTAACAGATCCCTGAATGTTGTTCCTTTGATCATTTCACATCAAACACATTGTGAGCATCTTTGCTACCATTTCAATGAGTACTTGGATAAGACTTGTACCACCACGTTAATCCATTTATCCGATGCACCCATGGGCCCCGTAGGTTCTGTTCGGGCTGTGATAAAGATTTGGTCAGCCCCAGGTAAGCGAAGAGAAGGTGTATTTGAATGAGGTTGGAGACTTATGATTCCCGACTGATTCCAGGGGACATTGAGTTAGAGGATTTCTGAATGTCCACATAAGGGTGTTTGACACCGGTCCGCAATTCGTGTACACTTAGTTAAAACAGAAACATCTAAACTGGTATCCCATGGCTGCAATCGACATCTGAAAGGTCATCACACACCATATTCTCATCTAGGATTCATCTAAAAGAATTTCTGGATCATTGCCAATGACCGTGCAGCTTAATTCATTACCCTCACTGACAGAAAATTCACTTTAAGGCAGACGATACTAAACCAAAGGACTTCTTTTAAATTTCCTAATCCCCACGAACTTCTGTAAACAAATTAGAAGACCGGGTTTACGTGTAATGCTGTGACCCTGAGCTGTGACAATTTTCAAAAGAAAAACTGATTTCGTAGTCATCGCGAAACCGAAGGTGTGAAATAGCAGCACTGAATGACCGAAAATCCACTCCCTCACTTCTGCACAAAAGAAAACTTCACACCCATAGATGACTTCTACTCATTCTCTGAAATGACAAAAAGGATCATCTATTTGTTGCGAAATTCCATTGTTACTTATTCAACCGAACAGTCACCTGCAATTACATATTACTTTATATTCGCTCCAGTTTTTGTTCAGAATTACGCACGCTGGAGTTCATACGCGAATTGTCTGGAGCCCCTCCTACAACACGAAGATGCCCAAGTCACCATTCTTCCTGAAACACTGGTTGAAAAGGTAAGTGCTTTTGTGAAAAATTTTGTCGATGACATGTTCAGTGACGTAAAAGCCATATGTTTTAATCCATCCAAGCCTTCTCCTATACCAACATATCTTCCCAACCATCCAGTGAACCGCGAAACTTCGACATTGCCTCAGGACGCCATCGCTTTCCAAACTTGTTTGTTAATGTTTGCTACTGATCAATTTCCAGTAGTTCAAAAGAAAAATCTTTCCATCATCCTGCGCTCGACCGCGTAAACAAGGTCCAGAATGATGGCCCGTTTTGGCCTTCGGTGCAGATGACCTAGCAATCTCCTCCTGTCACATTCCTGCCTGAATGCTAGGTGGGAGCATCAATACGTACTGTTCCCATTTCTTTGATGGTGGGAGTGATTTTTCCCTCTTGACCGAGTAAATTGAACTAGTGAACACCGATGTACGAATTCAGTGAAGTTGATTGATGGAACAAAGAGACGTCCACTACAGTGTCACTTGATTGGTCCACTGGGGATTTGCAACGTGTACTGGTTTTCGTTCATTGATCTGATCAAAGCACTTATCATTTCGGTTGAGTTGAAGCTTTACACCGGTTCGACGGGTATCTTTCTATTTGGCGCGATTTCGATCTGTTACTTTTCGGATCTTCTGATTGCTGTTTCGTGTGCAACTACGATTCGGATTTTGATGGTCCTGATGTTTTGAGTATTATTGAGGTTTTCGGCTTTACTGCCCCGAGAATGATTGGTCCTGAGACGTTCGTATATCCTGTAGACCTCAGCGTGACGGGTCTTTGCGGAGGTTCATTTTCTGAGGGACTCAGCTACATTATGTTGCGGCAAAGAAACACGACCATAGATCATTAAAATTTTAGGAATGCTATTCACAGAAATAAGCCAAGTAATGACCACTCTCATACAGTACTCCATTGAGAGCGCGTGCAGTGCATCTGATGGGTCTTTGGTCGTCTGGCCTGTTCTTGTATCTGATTAACTGCATTCATTATTTGAAATTAAAGACAACACCGAAGGAGGCACAAAAGATGTGTAGGGAATAGTTGCCTCAGTTGTCAGAGAGCGAATTCGCTCACCTGAAGGTCCGTGGCTCGGACCTGACCCCCGCATCTCGACTTCCCCTGTCTAGGCTTGGGCAACCTGGTAGTATCTCATCCTTCGTACTCGATTCGGGTAGCATGACAGATAGGCGCCGGACGGGTGCTACAGCTGAACAAACTAATATGTGCACTGTGCAGACTAAGCGGCTGTAACTGTAGTTATTGGCTACCAAGAGTTTTCAATGAATCGCCAAAGCGATCCGTGAATAGGTGTCAATATACTCCCGTTTTTTGACGCTAGATCTTCATTTATCCACCAAAGCTCAAGGGACAGTACATACAATACCATAAAAAAGGTCTCATAATCATGGCTACTGTTTTTTACCGAATAATCGACCTATCTATCGTTTTCAAACACTTTCCTTTGTACTGAGCTCACTTACTCCCAAAGGCATATGAGTGATTTTCATTTGGTTGAAGTCCGCACTTGCACATCTGCAAATGGTTTCGCTTGCACGCACTACTTAATTTTGTGACACACTAGTTTACTAGGCCTGATTCGAACTTCCTCGGTCACCCTAGCGGACCAAAATATGTGGGAGAAATGAAATCACAGTTTTCCTGGGATTATAATGATCAATTTTATTTTTAAAAAACTGTCGTAATGTCCTCGGAATCGCCGTAGCCTTACTAATCTACGTCAAGTTAACTGGAACCGTTTGAAGTATTTTGCCAAATTTATGACTACACCACTCTTATTCATTATTAATTACACTTGCTGCGGTTATTTCATGTGTGCACATTGATATTATACCTCTCTACTTTTATTCTTATTGTTCCTCCCAAATGCGGGACGGATGGTTAGAATGGTGGAATTGGCTAGATCTCGGATGGCCAGCGTTTCTTCGTCCTTAAAACATTTCAAAACCAGGTTCTACTCCTTATTCCTGCCTGATTTCATTAGGTTTCCTTGCTCAAGTGCTCAACATAACCCGGATAAGAAGAAACAAATGTAGAACGTGCCTGAAAGCCACAGGATGGCGGCCCTTTTCTAGTTTTTCTTTCCTAACTGTCATATGTTGGGTGACACGGTGAAGACAAATTGATCTACGTCTCGACAGCCTTATTTGCACTTGCGCTCCAGTTTCTCACCGATTTGAAATTTGACTCACACGGTACTTCTGTTAGTTCGTTGCTCATGGCTTCGAATTTCCTCTGTTTCTACCATATGCCACAATGCCCCTTAAGCACGGCTGGTGCGTATCCAACCACTTCGATTAATCAATAATAGTCACATGATGGTCCCGCAGAGGTTAGTTGATTTCCCAGTGGAACAGTTGACTAGAATGCCACTTTCAAAGTAGATAGATATGAGTTCTCCGATGAACAGTCCATAGAACAGGAGTACGCATACATGTGAGTGAGCAGAGGATATAACCTAACTAACAGGAAGTCATTCATTTTGGTTCTATTCCAGAATGAATATATTTAAGTTGACGTTTGAATACTAGCAAGTAAGTGCATTTAGCAACGTGTATCTAACGTCTCACGCACAGAGTAGGCTGACTGATTCACTTTCCGACTGAAAACGGATTTGTTCTTGATTGAAAGCAACTCATAAAATGCTGAAAACTCTCCAGCAGCCCAAGACTGAGAAGCGCAAAGAAGTCCCAGGTGAATCCTTCTTCAGTGATATTCCCCTGTGGGATGTCAGTATCACGACACAGATCTTGTCTGTGTAGGCGCAATGCAGCGTCTTCAACCGAAAAAGGACGCTGCACAAGGATGATTCAACAACCTCAAATTCCTGCCACTAGATACCGCCGGATCATGGGACGGCAGTTTCATAGATACTAAAATTTTCGGCAAGTCTTTTTACCAAGATCTTAATCCAGTAGGTGTTATCCAGTTCTGCGGAAGTAAAGATTGCTATTGCTTTCGAAAAGACAGTAGAATGTCCTGAAATTATAGCACGTAAAGCCCGGCAAGTGGTACCAGTGTAGTCTATTCTAGGAGAAGCCCCGGTAGTTATTTCTTAGAAAATCCAGTGATTCAGAAAACCTCAATAGTGTTTCGAAAATCCATATTCCACCTGAGGTTTGCCGGAATCGTTACTGTAGCAATGGAATTGCGGTAAAATAAAAAGGTTAAGTTAGTTTTTAAATCGAGCTAAGGAACTTGGAATCTACGAACGACGATTTAGTAGGATATGTTGTCAGTGCTGTTAGAAGTAGTTCATTGCTGGTATCACCATGGGTATAGAATTTCCCACTTTTATAAGTACGAACGATAGCATGCAAACGCCTTTTTTGTTTTACTTTTAGGTTCTCTTTGATCCCCATAAGCCCGGATTCGTGAAAGGTGTTGTTGTTGCCCACAAATCAGCTAGTTTCCCCATCTGGTTGTCCAATGCTAGCGAAGCGAACCCGATTCATCCCCTTCCGGAGGTTATTTTAAGTGCAGGCACCTTTGAAAGTCCAGCGATCCTCCTGCGCTCCGGAATTGGAATGGATTTAAAACCCCAGACGACCGATTATATCACTGTAAGTCAATTATCACAATATGGTCAGACCTCGACAGCGATGGACATGGATGACTCGTTGCGGTTTTTTAGGCTACTGGCAATATATTAGTAGGCAAAATTAGATCCTGAAATGAAAAGTTTTGGTGCGCCAGCCACACAGCGTTTGGGTTTGATCTGTTAACCAATCAACTCCGATACACCGAAAGTGCCGTTTTGTTTTGTACTTATTTATAATCTGCAATACGCTTATTGGATTTTGGTCGACTAAGAACGAGTTATGCGAACGAAGTTGAAATTATGCGCAAGTTTCAAATTGTACTGGAAAAGTCCATGGAAATAGATACATGGCTTAAGACTAAACAAATGGAAATACATGTGGTAGGCTTTGGTTAAACCACTAAGACGGATTGCTAATAGAACTCGAGGAGGATAGGGATCAAGTAGAATAAGGTCAAACATGAGGTCAGATGACTGATCCAGAAGCAGCTGCTTGAAAAAAAGCGTATGAAAGAAAGGCATACAACTAGGCGGAGTTTTGGGGAATGAATCTTCCGAATGAACATTCTGCTCCAAACAGTTTCACATCTCATTGATGACCATATCCTTTGTCCATAGAGGGCTGTGTGAATTCATCAGAAATGACAACTGTAAAACCATAGAAAAATGGGATTTGGGTGGGGGTCACTTTTTGTCTTCCCTGTAAGGTCATCATGAAAATCGACTTATAGCTTAGGGTCACGGCCTCTATCCAGAAGGTGATGGTAGATTTAGACCTTTGAAGAGAAAATATCCATCCGTAGGGGATATTAGGTAGGTACGCGAATATCCATTCGTACACATCAACTGCCATTCCACTTTAGTATGTACGTGCACAAACAAAAAAGGCTGTGGTGATTTGACAACTAGGTGAATACCAACCTCGTTCCAAACCGATGCACTTGTGCAGGCTGTTGTTGTCGCTCCATCAAAGCGTGTTTGATAACCGTCACTTATTTTCAGACAACATGGCAAAACAGTCAATCTCGCATTTGCAAGTTCCAATGTGACTGGAATACTTTGCTGAGATAGCGGTGCATGCAGTTTTCTTATACCAGATGCCTGGGGTTCAGATCCCGAGAGGGTCGAAGACAGGGCCCAATGGTGGGCTTTAAAAAGAGTGAAACTCGTGTGCAGTACCATCTTCTTTTGGTGTAAAATAGGCCAAATCAGTGTATATAAATGGAACGAGTTATGTTATGAAATCTGAGTTGCGGGAGACAGGTAGACTTTGTCTCCCTGTTGTTGCAGTGGTGCAGTGTCGAACGAAGAATTCATCCATATCCATTCCATTCTCTTGGCGTACAGCCTTGTGAATAGTAGATTCCTTTATGGAAATATGCCGCGATATCTGAAATATCGTACCGAAGGAAACATGAGGCGGCCTGTGTGCAGCAGTGTAGAATATCATAAACGCAAGGTTCAGTTGAGTCTCCCGTGAAAACCAAATTGATTTGCATATGAGTGTATTTCTCGAAAACGGTCCAATTCGGGTTCAAGTAGAACACAAGGTTGACGAAAACTTGAGGAGTGCGCCTACCTGATGAACCCCAAGAAGGGCGAAACTGGTCGTGGGCTGTTGAAGAGTTTTCAGCAACCTTGTGAGTAGTTTCCTTTCTGAAAAACGTTAGGGTATCCTGGAGACATGGCCCTATAGGATGACAAAGCTGAGGACATGCCGTTTGGGGTAATTGAATCACTGTGCTTTTACTGGTTGAAGAGCACAAAATACTTGGTGACTGAGAACCGGGTGACCCCTGTTTTCAACTTTATCGGCTATTATGTACAGGGCAGAGGGAAACCTCAACAGTGGGTCCAAAATTGAGTTTTTAGAAATTGAAAGTATTGATTCATCGATGCTGTCACAATAAAACCAGCTATGGCTCAGCAAAATTTATGCATATCATATTGGCTCTGAGTCACTAAATTACCCCCTCCCATTGGATATGGAAACTCAGTTAGATAATTAACGTATTGACTCATGTTTAGTATGAAACCAAGGTTGATTTAGACTACTGAAGAGTAGAAAGACACTCAGATAAATCTTCTCGCAATCTGTCTATGACGTTTGCGAAAATAATCTTCATTCTAGTTACAAACACAGTGGCTGTTAGACAGAACTAATTTCGGTGCCTTGGTAAGCAGCTGAAATCGTGGTTTTTGACCGATAGTTTGCGAAAATAATCTTCATTCTAGCTATAAACACAGTTGCTGTTGGACAGAACTGATTTTGGTGCCCTGGCAAGCAGCTGAAATCGTGGTTTTTGACCGATTTTAGTGTCAGTTGTGCACCCATTTTGGAGCTTATCAGGTAGCCCCACTCCTCGAGTTTCCGTCAACCCTACGTTTTAGTTGAATATCAGAGTGTGCATTAGTAGAGAAATACACTGGTGAAGTAGACTTATACTGTTCCGATGAATTTGCTGCTCACGTTTCATTTGGGGTGATTCTGGAGCATCGCTGTCCATTTTTGGATGAGACACAATACTTCTAACGTTGATGTGTGGTTTGTTACGCCATGGAAATACATTTAGATATAGATTGCACATCGTACCAACTGAAACATGAGGCTAGCAGCCAATTCATTTAAGGAACATCTCAAGTGAAATATCCGATCACGTCCCCAAAATATTCTGCCAGGAAGTGCAGTTCACCATTTTCATAAAGTCTGATATTCAACCAGATTGATGGGAACTCGTGGACTACGCTATATTATTCCTTTCATCTACTGGGAATAACCGCATTTATTTTATTTTATGTTTCATGTTTTCATAGAGTTACTGTGAATGGTAGGAATATGTACGGCATTAAATGATACGATTCAAGTCGAATGGTAAGCAAACGCAGCCTCTCTAGGTACACCATGAACCAGTAGATCCTGACAGCTTTAATCGCTTTCTCTCCTGCGCATCGACAGCCAACCGACTGCTTGCTCCTTTTTCGATAATGGTTAACAGTCACGGGAAATAATTTACGCTCAAGTATACGTAGTGCAACAGGGATTCGTTCAAGCCCCCAGTTAGCACCCACTCAATTTAAATTAGAGTTTATTTTATAAGGATGACATTTGAAATCGAGGACATGAAAGCTCAGTTTTTGGTGTTGAGTTGTGTAATGCCCAATAGGCAGAGGCTGGCAGCGTGATGTCGTAATCAGCAATCTCATAATCGGGTATCCATCACCGGTCGTTGTTTTTGTGGGCCACTTTTGATGGAGTTTGCGCATAAACTTCAGCTTTGCATGCTCAGATGGGCACCACCATGTCAATAGAATGCATTTGAAGTCACACAAACTTTGAAATATCTGTTTGACTAGAATATCTCCGTAAGGAAGACTGTGATTAGAGTCAACCGAACTGAAATAGGGCTTTTTAATCCCACGAGGTGCTTTTTGCAAGACGGTGATTTACGGTAGCAGCTTGGTGCATGAGTGCTTGAAGATTTCACAAACCCACAATTCTTAGCTAACTTGGGTAATACAATCGCTTCTGTTGCATCTCAGCCTCTGTATCCAGCACGGTTCAAAGGCATGTGACTGTACCAGCCAAATAATTATTGCCGAATCGCAGCTTTCATGACTCAGTTTCATCACTACTAAGTTTCAGGATCATCACACACCCTTCTGATTTGTTTGAGCGAGGTTAATTGAGTCGCCATAACATTCATTTTCATACATAATTTGAACGCTGTCTCCGCCAGCCGTAGGAGACAAACTCGATTGCTTGGTTCTCAGTCATTTTATTTACCCTCAACTTTTTTCCAGCCCAGCAATATCACGAGTTTGCCTGTGGGGTTAAACTTACACGATCATCCAATGATTGTACTCGTGTGCACGTTTCAGAAGCCAGTTGCTATCAACACTAAAGTAGTGACACCTTTGGAGATGCTGCGATACATCTGGTCCGGAAAAAGTACGTTTTCCGATCTTTATTGACATGTTTTTCAAAATAATCGGAGTGGACCAGTGTGCACATCTGGTCTGATGAGTAGCTTAGCTTTTATCAACCTAAAGGTGAAATAACCTTAAACGAATGCACATTCAGAGTGAACATCTGAGAAGAGTTCGACTTCTCGAGATGTCATTTTCTAAACGGTTCATATCCATTGTTTACGAACACCAATATGTATAAAATTTAACCCAAAGCTGACATTTGCAAACTGGTGCGCACTATCGATTCGGCACCTAAGCACTCACCATCATCACTGACAGGCACACCAAGGTATAAAACTAGGTGTTCACTACCATCCAGTCCTGTCAAGTTATCTAAATAAAAATGATGGTAATGTAAGGCGGTTCGGTGATTTCCAAATGACTTTTCACCGTATCAGTAAAGCCAATCTATGCTGAAAAGCCCAGTAGCAGTGTGCAGTCGCGATTTCATCCTCAGTATGAATCATCATCACGAAACTCAACGAGTTCCGAACCTACCACTGTCGTACCAGTGATTGAACTCTTGAAGCATAAATAAAGTCCTGTGACCTTGATGACCTTGATGCCTTGACCTTGAACGTGAACGTGAAGTCAAACTATCGGAATAGAAATTGAGAGGACACCTACAATTGGCAGCCAATCGCGCCCATAAATCGTTTCGAGCCACGGAATGACGAGCAAATTCTGCAGCAAACCTTGTCAGGTACTTGCAAATTTCGTGGTCCATAAAGCTGGAATTTCGCACAACAACGTATTGCATGCTGTAGTCTGGCACGCGGAAGGAGAACCAATCAGCTAAGTCAAGCTAAATCTCTGTTGGGTGTCGGCCGAGGGATTTTAGTGTGTTAGAGCGGTTGAACAAGCGTTGGGTTGGTGGGGAAACCTACACGTGTTTGGGTCCAGTCTAGGGTCTAGTTCTCCTGGTTCGGTTTATTTGATGGTCCGTCTTGAACTTCGTTTGAACGTTCTGTTAGTCTGTGTGGGTGAGCTAGTGCTAAGATAGTTGTGTAAGAGGGATGCTGTGACCTTTGGTCGTGTTGGGATTTCCACCCCCACCCCCCGGTTTTTTCTAATGATCCTATGTGGATTGACAACCACACCGTCACGTGTCAACTCGGCTTACCTGACCGCTTTCCATACGCTAGCCAGCTCCACACCCTCGATTCTATTCACACTGTGGTGCTTAGTAATTTCCATCGCCTCGGCTCTCAGCCGCTGTGGTGTGAATCGTAGTCCCCGTCTTAAAAATTCCAAATTCTTCAGATCTACTCTATGTCCCGTGTCTACGGCATGTGCCGCCATCGCTGAGTCTTTGACCAGCGTTTGGTATTCTTCCACATTCCCTAATGGTTTGTTAATCCTTCTTTTATGCTCACCAATTCTGGTGTGCAATTCCCTGACAGTTTGTCCCATACAAATCTTAGCGCAATCGTTGCAATTAATTTTATACGCACATTCTCTGGTCCTTCCAACCGACAGGGGACCTTTCACTTGCGCCAAAACTGAGCGTAGCTGAATGGCTAAGCTCAACAGTCTTCGAATAACCTCCGATGTTCCTGCTTTATATGGAATGACTACTGTGCCAATCCATTCCTTACTGGGTCTAGACGCTGGAGCCAATAGCTTTCTTAGTTGACGCTTAATCAAACTCACTGGGTATCCTACTTCTTGAAGTTTGTTGGCAATCTCCATTTGAGCTGACTTTTGGTCGATCTCTTCTGTGCACAGCGCTCCGACTCGACAAAACATCAATGAGACAATACTGGCGTACACGGACTTTAGTGTGCTGATGAATAGCTTAAGACGATCCCGGTGTATGTTGGTTTCTGGTAGATAGTCGTTTCCCATTTCCCACCAATCTTATGTGTTATACAGCCCAGAAAGGGTAATGTGCCCGAGGTGGACTCCATTTCCATGAATTTCAGCCGCGATTCTCCGAAATTATCGCATTTCTAAAACCCGTCAGAGCAACACTGGGAAGTATATGAATGCCGTCGTCTGTTCATCCATGCAACTATTCCAAGCTCTGTTAATATGTCAACCAGACGTTTGCAAACACCCTGCCATGCTCCTCCATTTGATCAGGGAACACCGGCTCAATAACAAATAATTCAAGTCTCTATTTGGATACGGGGAACAACAATCCAAAGTATACATCATGTCACAATTATCAGCTCAGAAAACGCTATGCTTATTTCAAATACATATAGGTGATGATACTTCAGTCCCTTTAATTGGCGACTATCTTCCTCTTTTAGGCGCTTTATCGCAAGCAGGAGCCATTTCTTCTGTCGCCTATTTGCGAACCAGTCTGCAGAGGATTCAGAATTCATCCAAGCCAGACATTCAATTCACTTTCATTGCGGCAGCCGTATTTGAACAGGAAATATTTCAAAAGGTAGCTCACTGTTTATTCTAACATATCTCTTCCACTTGCCCTGAAAAGTAGTGACACCCATGCACACGGATTGGCATACCAGAGTTTAACTCTGTTTAACCACTTAGATGAAATGTATTCAGCACTTTGGTGCCAAAGGAGTCCTACTGCACTTTTCTGAACACGTTTATGAGCTTTGTGTCAGTTAATTATAGCCTCGTCCGAAGATGACGTTTTAAAAAGTAGCTTTTACATGCATTTTTACAGCAAGCTCAAGCTGTAATCATCGCCTGGATGATGTTACCCTGATCTGCTCTTGATAGATCCTCGTCCTATTTGTATTATTTATAGCGGCGACTCTCTTCAGTCAACGCATTTGTGTGCTGCAGTGACTGATACAACTACAAGCTTGTTGGGTATGCACAGACGTGGAATGTCAGCCGGGTACCATGTGCCTAAAACTTGTATAAGTTGACCCTTGGTGAACTCTAAATAAACCTAGGCTCAAAACCTATGTGGCCGTGCATCCAAGTGGTGAACTCCGTTCATTTTTCAAATCCCAAGCATGATGAAAGCGGTCACACCGATAGAAGCGTCTTGAATTAATTTTGGATAGCTGTTTGAACCACGTAAATTTAGGTCGACCGATCGTGGGTACGAACGACGCTGCTTTAGACTTCCAAAATGAACCCCTCTCTATCTGTCTTGCACTGTTCATTACGCCTCACGAGGGAGGAGAGTGCGCAGATGGTTTCGTCCAGAAATTTGGTTGTTCTGACTGCCTTATTCAAGCCTGGTTTTCTCATTCTATCCCCGTTTTGTTGCCTCGTATTTCCATTCAGCTGATCAGAGTCTTAATCTGTGACCTACTTAGGGTTCCGCAGGCTATTGCCGACAAGCAGGATTTTTGCATAAAAAACGGTAAAGGTAATGAAACCTATTGTTTTATTGGTAACCGCGCTTGACACAGTTAGATCAGGCAGGAAATATTGTGGCAGCACACACACAATACCGTTCGTTTTTAAATTATCCACAGCTCAGTCACTTCCCCGAAGAAGCCTGGCACAAATTCCTTCCACCACGAGGTTACGACATGAAAAACACTGTGATTATTCTGGCCACCTTGCTTCAACCAGATTCACGTGGGCGTGTCACGCTCCATCAGACATCAACGCAGCCTTTCCCATCTATCAGAGTGGACCCGGCCTATCTGACTGCCCCACAAGACTTGGATCGTCTTGTAGAAGGAATTAGTTGGTTATACTCTGTCCTCACGAACCACGACGTGTTGGTCTCAGCTATCGATCTGCCATCTGCCGGACCTCCGCTGCTAAATTCGCCACAGAGCCTTGACAAACTCCGCGACCTCGGTTTGACCTTTCACCTGCCCCAGCACGCTAACTGCCCTCCTTTACCATCGCATGACTCCACCAACCAATCGCCGTCATCTCGAGCAGAGTGGAAACAGTTTTTCACTTGCCTAGTCCAGTCGGTTACGAGTTCGAATTATCATTATGTGGGAACATGTCCGGCGACCAACACTTCAAATGCAGTCGTTTCGGACAAGCTGTTGTGAGTTAAAACTTACCTCTCAGCGTGAATATCAGCATCACCTCGATTAATCTCGGATTTGCGTTTCAGCCTCCCTAGATTAACAAGGGAGCTTGGCCAGGTGTGATGCCTTTTTGGTACCTACCTGGCACACCACCCGAAGGAAATGCGGTGTCTGAGACACAATCAGATCGCCCAAGCCTGGACAGGAACAGTTGAGATGCACAGGTTGGGTTCAAATCTGGAAGCTTTTGACCAGCGCCTCAGCCACTCAAACATCTCAAGCTCAGTCTGCCATTAGGATTGAGAGTTAATGCAGGATCTGCGAAGAACCACTTTAAAGCAAACAACACAGGAAGGCTGACAGCTCTTTTCTTTTGAGAGTGTAGAGTTTTATTTATAAAGTCGTAGCATATTTATAGTGTGCTGTTTCTTTTTGGGTACAACTTCTGTGTAATGGAAGGTTGCTATTGACCTTTTGCAATTTGTTCTTCTCACGCTTATTCATCTTTTAATGAGAATGCATCGTGACTTAACATAGGTGGTGAACTTCTGTTTCCGGCCAGATCGAAAATGTTTCGGAGCAAACCCAGAACTCTTCATTTAAAAAAATTTTGGTAAACAATCGGCAGGTTTACTGCTGGGTAGCCAATTGTTTGCCAACCTCATGACATGACTTCAAATGACATAAGCCATGAGTGAATAATCGTTCGGAGAGTTCGTACACTGATTTGTGTCTCATTACAGAATCAACTGGATTTGCAAAGACGGTGTTCATCTTTACGCTATCTGTCTTTGATAGAGTAAAAACCAAAGGAAATCAGTATTTGACAGAAAAATGTCAGCCAATAAAACAGACTCGAAATTCCCGAATTCCTCTCTGCAAACCACAAGAAAGTCACAGAGAAGAGTCTCCTATGGACTCAAATGAGAAACTAGGTTATGTATGCCAGCAGTCTGTAGACAAAATTGTGTTGAAGTTTACCAAATCCACAGTGAGTTACCACTATTTATTCACCCCTATTTTGCCTGTAGATCCAGTAGAGTCTACCCGGAAACAGGCAGAAGAATACGCCTAATTCAGCTTGACTCAAAAAAGGTACTTGTACCGAACCACCGTACACAACACTTGTAAATCTGGTCAGCATCCAGCGTCTTCATTTTCCAGAATCTCAGTGAATTCTGACCACCAGAAAGAAATAATTCGGTTTTGCAGTCTACCGCAGTAGGGACAATAACGCATGCACTTTTACACACCAGTTCTTCGATGCAAAAAATACTACGTGACTTTGCACTCACATTTGTCCACGTGACACAACTGGACAGGTCGAATTTTTCATCTTCCATATGGACTTGAATGTTTTATTGTTGTTAAACCTATAAAAATTAAAGAGAGTGGCGTAAATGCAGCTTTCCCGCTTGAATTATCTTCGCACACCATCGTATGAATTTTGGACTTAATTGTTATCCGCGGTCAGGAAGCAGAACGTCATCGTACCTGATTTGAATCAACCGCTTGATCAACTATGTGCTAGTTACTGCATTTAAGTAGCTGAACAAAAAGTCGATAAATTTTGTGAAGCGTGAAACCAACACCTAATCTCCGCCGATTATCGTAAGTAAATAAGAGAAGCATCGCCTAAGCTAGTCGTGAACCAGTCGACGCCTCATAAACAGCCAGAAGAAACAAGCATCTGACCTTTTAGTCCGACCACATCAAACGCTGATGTAAACCCTGGCGAAAGGAATTAGTAACACTGAGCTAGAGGAACGTTTTTATGAAATCACCCTAATGGGCTTACCAGTGAAATTAGATCATTTTTAAATAACCGTGCACTGGCGATTGTTGATAATATGATAGAATGTGTATGTTCCACAAACACCTACTTTCAGAGTGTTTCGTCCGTAGTGGGACGCGTCAGTTGGGCGTGGCAAAAGTGATTTCGATAGTGGTTTGGTGGGTATCAGTGCACGACCTTGTGTACACAAGAATTGGATATTATGAAGATCGTGGAATTGTCGGGCCTTCTGGCTTCGCTTGCAGCTAATTTGGCTACATAAATTTCAGTCCTCGGTACCTGATGGATTTATCACTCATCATCATTCCAAAACGCTGCACAATAAGAAGTGCTTAAATAAAAGGTCTGAAATGCTGTGTACCATAACATAGCTACACAGCGCTGGGGTGTCATGCAAGGGAGGGGAGAAAAATCTGATATAAACAGAGGGTTTAATCACTCATTTTCAGGTAAGCTGAGAAGCGTTAGCCATGCTTTTTCACCAGCTCTTTTGAAAACTGATCAAATTGAACCTAAAGGGCAATGTGCCACGAATTCGTGGTATCTCCAAAGATAATAGGACCCGTATCAAATGATGTCCCATGAGCCGACAGGTGGTTCTGTTGCTTGTTTCGACGAATATCAACGAGGGTTCATACGAGAAGGACTAAATGGAGATCATTATCCGACATGTTCTCAATCCATATTAGCTTAGTTGTATTTCCCCGTGTGAGAATCTCAAACCCTCATATCTCAGTAACCTTCCTTTGGTTGTTTCGCTTCACTTCCCGGGTCACGTAACAGTCAAATGGATAGACAAACCAGACTTGCCTTGTAATGTGTACCTTGACCATTAGGTTCTTGGTCTGATCGTTTGGTATCACCTAGTAGAATCATTTGTATATCGAATCCATTGATCAGCAAGGTCGGCAAGTCTTAAAGTTACAAGGTCTAAGACAACAGTATTGAACGCATTTAACCGAGCACGCTGTACATCAAACAGAGTGAGAGACAACACTGGCTACTTGTCAGGGAATAATGAGTTCAACTCATCAATAAGGTGACCTGAGTTTATGAATGCACGCAATGCTGTGGTCTTGTGCTCAGCACAGGATGTACGCGTGGGGGGGGGCTGATCTAAACCATGGAAATTCTAATACCCGAACAAAGCGTTTTCACCGTCAAAAGATTGGGTCGCTATGTCGTACAGTGATAGCTTTAGCAGCTAAGATTGTGCGGTACTGTGCCGATCTGGGCAGGCATCTTACAGACAAATGAAAACTTTGGGAAGCATGCTGTGCGCTGCATCTGCCGCCGAGCTGACTGTCGTCCTCTGTGTTTTAGAAACTTACCAGGGTGAATTGGGATTTTTGGGCAGGTGAAATCATACGTTTAGAAACTGCCTTTAATAGTTGTCTACCGCTTGCGAGCCGTAAGTGTCTAAGCAGGAGGCTGTTGATCAGTTCGCCGAGTTTGGGAATGGACTTGATAACTTTTCGTCACCATTCAAGGAGACAACATCAGTGCGCAGTTCTGTGTGTACTTCCTATTGTCCTGCAGGCCCTTATATAGCATCTGAAGGTCATCTGTTATCTTCCAACGTGATTGTCCAGTCAGACGATAGCGACTTTCGTGAATATATTGGTCTGTTGCTGATCTTTGCTGAGTTGTGGTCCGCATTCCTTCGAGTCGAGTGGTTATCCCAATGTCCATATCTAACCGCAGTTTGATGTTTAAAATTTGCCGCTTGTGTAATCACATCAATTTAGCCAAAGCAAGAAGTTTTCATTATTGTGATTGCCGGTGACTTCTCAGAAAAAAGTGTTCTATATGCGATACGAAGTATATATAT